TAATAATATTATTGTGTTGTTCATGACATACTTTAATCATTTTCCGGATCTACGATTAACCAAACTTTATGATTTAACCAGATACTAGCAAGTATTTGGAAAATTATAACATATTTTGAAACTGGAAGGGAAAACAATGTGCAAATGAAGAATGCTAGAAAAGCACCTAATATTTAAAATATTTTGTAAGTTTAAACGGCTAAGCACAGTGCTACAAATATTTCACCTATTAAAAACTAAGAAATGTACATACATAGGACTTCAAAACGCCCAAAATTAATTTCACTCTTAGGGCTTGTCCACACGACGTTCGTCGTGCATTGAATATGAATGCAAAACACCCGCATTTTTAAATTTATCGACACAGAATATAAGGAGACGTTCTGTAATAAGTGGATCTTAAAAATAATTAAAAACCTAATTAAGCTAAAAACCTTCTCCATCTTGAAATCGCTCAAAAAGTGTTTTTATATAGAACAAGCATTAGTACGCGTGTGTATCCAGATAGTGTAACATAGCTCAGTGTATATTTTTTGCATCATTTTGTGGTTTGTGGCAAGGCAGTAGTGACTATATTTCAATCAATTATTGTTTATAATATAACAATATTTTAAACATTATTTACATGTATTAGTAATTTAGTACATAATAAATTGCATGTTAGAATGAATGTGATTAAACAAAAAATCAGGGATTAGTCTATCTTTGTACTGAATTTTATTCAAAACCTCTCCTTACCAATTTCGACATTCTCATTGATACTCGCCATCTGCGCAGGAGATGATATTATAGTGCACAAGGTTTTTTTTATGACTACAGTTTGGCTCGGTTTGTAGTGACCCTTGACTTGCTGTGCCAGCGGTAGCGGGTTCGAGTCCCGCTGGGGGTATTCATTTGTATGATGAGCACGAATGTTTGTACTCCAGTCATGGGTGTTTATATTTCGCGGTATAAGAACCAGATGAACGTATCTACAAAAAAATCAAAAATCGTTTTTTTTTTTCATAAAACGAGTCACAATGTGGTCCTTTACGAAATGCCAAAACGACGTAACAGTAAAGTCAATAGTTCACAAATTCCAAAAAAACGAAATAGCATAACAACCACTTTCAATAGAACCAGAAAAATGTATTATGAGTACCGCTAAATTAGTTTTAATTATCTTATTACCAGTTAGGGCTATAGGAACGGAATTGTAAAAACAATATTTTTAATCGTAGAATATTGTTTCGTTCACAATATAATACACGAACCATATCAACGTAAAAGCTTATACGTTGTTTTGGGTATTACAAGATTGTGTTTTTATTCTAAATTTGAAGAGCCAAAACAACGTTTATCTATTTACGTTTTATTGACACAAGCATTTTTATAAAATAAATAAATAAAAAAAGGTAAGGGCCACACTAACGTATGTCAACCGAATTTCAAAAAAATAAATATTGTGTCAATGCAAGCCTGTATAAATAAATAAATTTTTACTATTCCTGAGCTCTAATAGTATGCCAATATATCAACATATTTTTTTCTTTCGTTAATTCTATATTATCACCAATAAAAAGCTGGTAAAGTTTTGTGTGGCGATTTTACCCAGTATTTTTGCTCTCCTGTAAAATTGAGAAAATCTATATACGTTCATTTGACTCTTACACCGCGATTTATAATAATATGTATGTGTTGAAAGTTATATATGTGTAGTATATCAACTATCTGGTATCCATAACACAAGCCTCGTACCTTACCATGGAACTAGATAGTACTGTGTGTTAATGTTCCAACATATTTAAAAAAAAAAGTATGGGCCTCCGGATGTGCAGCCATACAGCCGTACATACTAGCCGGCAGTTAACAAACAATTACACACATAAACAAATTTTCACATATAATAATAATTTGAATACAAGTTATTATTAATAACAATCTAACTAAAATTATAAATGGAAAGCTTTTTGTGTGTATTTTAATTTGTGCCCAATTAGCACGTTTTTAAGCCATTATAAGAGAATTAAATTAATATATAAATTTTAATAAATTAATACTTACCTTATTTATAGCTATAATCGTACATAGCATATAGTAAAAAACACTTTCCCGATGCCCGTATCTTTTGATTTTCGTAACCCTATTGCTGCCCGATTGAAATCGCTAGTTACCGATAAGACTGCCTTTTGTGCCTCACATTTATATTCTTTTTTATTCGAATCCTACCATAGTATGACCTATATATTCTATTATATAAAATGAAGTATATATGTAGCTATAATACTTTCTTAAATTTATTTTGGTTTTTGGTTCTCGACGTTTCGAATACTTTATAGCAATCATGGTGGCCAGATGGTCGGAAACAAAAAATCAAATAAATCCACGAAAAAATCCGAAAAGATAGTTTTATTTAAAACTAGTGGTTCACTCTCTCTTCGCTCGGGTTCGCCTTTAGAAAAACAAATCTATCCCACGGGAACCGTACATTTTTTCGGCATAAAAAGTAGCCTCTCTGATGTACCTATGGGATATATTATTGTAAAGTTTCATTAAACTCCATTTAGTAGTTTTTGCGTGAAAGAGTAACAAACATTCATACATCTATATATCCAGACAACCAGACTTCCGTGCATCCTTACAAGCTTTTGCGTTTCTAATATTAGTATAGATAAAAGTACTTTTTATTTAATTATAATTTAAATATCACTGCGGCTGCTAGTAGTCGTTGATTCTTCTCTTAGTTATGTTAATACAAACGTTTTGAAGTTGAAAGGAAGCCTTCCATGTTTTTGTGGTATAGCTTATTTGCATTACAAATCCGTATTAATATTATAAATGTGAAAGTTTGTGACTATGGATGTTTAATTACTCTTTCACGCCAGAATAACTGAACGGATCTGGATGTGGCAGAGAGATAGATTATAGTCTGGAATAACATATAGGCTACTTTTTATCCCGGAAAATGTACGGTTCCCGTGGGATAGGTTTGTTTTTGTTTTCCTAATAAAGGGATCTGCTCTATTTAAAATTAAAAAAATGTATTGATAGTTTTTGTACAAATACTATTTATTAGCACTTATTCTAAAACGTTTTATATGGTTTAAAATATGGAATTCTAAATTTTAGACTGGATGGGCTAAAAGTGTTATGTGATTTTTGCTAAAAAAATTGAAGTAGTAGACCGATGTCAGGACATTGTATCAAAATCCACGTGCTTTAGATAGTATCTATTTTGCACATGAAACTGTAGTTGTTTAAAACAAAATCTCTTGGACGAGAGGAAATGGAAATAAACTAAGACTAATCAAGTGCACAAGTATACGCGAAGACATTAGTGCACTCTCTATTCCTTTTACTCTCAAATTCCGATATTATGATATTAAATAAAAACATGGTGAGACAGACTGGTGAGAGATAAGGCACAGGACCGACAGCTTTACACTCCACTTCGGGGCATGGGGTGAAACACCGCCAACTTCCCGACTCAGCAGTATGTTAGAAGAAAGACTCAATAGCTATACTACATATATACCTAATCCTGGACTCGAACCCAGCACCTCCGAATCTGCAGCGGTACATGCTAGCCGCTTCACTACCGAGACAATAATATATTGTATGATATATACAATGTCATACATTCGTATTATATTGTATGATATATGCAATACTCCTCACAGCATTAATCTGAATATTTTAGTGGAACTGAAGCACTACTATGAAATAGTACTAATAACAACGCTTAGAATAATATTTATCTTTCATTTGCCATACAAATATGTCTAAAGATGGCTTGCAGATCTCATAAGAGCTCAGAGAATAATTAATTAAGGCCAGAAACATTCCTTTGATTGTCTTGAAAATAAACTTGGTGAATTTCAATGGCACCACCATCTCTTTATGTTAAAAGGTGAAGGTATTTGGAAACATATGTGAGACATTGTTTGTAAAGCTAATTTACTTAAGTAAATCCTCTATGTATAAAACGAATGTATGTTATCGGTTTGTTGTTTTAACGTGCATATGCAATTCTGTACTATTTATCCCAATATAATAAAACTTGTATGAGTATTAGAGACTAGTAAATCTGTAAATATAGAGGTACAATCAGTAAGTAATATCCATATGTGTTTATATTATATATTTGACGACACGTTTGGCTCAGTTTGTAGTGACTCTACTTGCTGCGCCAGCGGTCGCGGGTTCGAGTCCCGCTGAATGCATTCATTTGTGTGATGAGCACGAATGTGTGTACTCCAGTCATGGGTGTTTACATTTATAATATGTATGTATTTAAAGTTATATATGTGTAGTTTATCAACTGTCTGTTATCTATAACACAAGCCTCGTAGCTTACTATGGAACTAGATGGTACTGTGTGTTAATGTCCCAACATATTTATTTATATTTATATATAGGTAATACATAAACACATATTAGGTATATTAATTATGTATGATTATATCTATATCTGTAAATATGCCTGAGTGAAGCTACACTTATTTTTTTAATAATGTTAATAAAAATTATGAATTCAATTCAATTTTCTGATTAATGGCTTAAAAGCGCGCCAGTTCAGTACGGATTACTTCTTCAATGTCACGTAAAATGAAGAAGATATGAAGGTGATGGTCGGTAAAATAGAAATTATAAAACTGTATCGTAAAATCCGTCGGTTTATGCCGCTCGAACAATTTAAATTTAAAATATACTATTAAATAAAGGTTATTATTCAAGCACGGATTATTTAATATATATTAATGTGCAGATTAGATTTAATTGATGCTAAACGCTCGTAGAATAGAAAGGTATAAATTATTCTATTCTAGCAATATAAGCAAATATTTTTTTTATAAAAGAGCAACTGTTGAGTTTTTTGGTGGCTCCTTTTAACAGAACTTTCTTCTAAGTGGCTAGTAGCACTTCTTGTACTCACAATACTGACATTTAATTTAAATAAAAATAGATGGTTAAAAAGTGCTGGTAAAAGTCTATTTGAATTAAATATATTTAGATTTTTAGTCTGAACCTAACAATGGCTGAAATACTTGTATATCTTTCAGAGGTATGTTAATAAGTATGTATATATTTAACTGCCTTGGTGGTGTACTGGCTAGCATGTACGGCTGCACACTCGGAGGTCCTGGGTTCGAGTCCCGGGTCGGGCCAAGTTTAGTTATTGAGTCTTTCTGTATAGTAAGTCTCAGTAACCGCCTGGAGTTGGGAAGTTGGCGGTGTTTCACCCCCGTGCCTCGGAGAGCACGTAAAGCGCGCCTAACTCTCACTGGTCGTGTCGAGTAGTCGTCCCACCGGAGTATGAGAGTAACAGGAATAGAGAGTGCACTTGCACTATAATATCTCCTGCGCAGTTGGCTAGTCTCAATGAGATTGGCCGCCGTAGCCGGAATCGGCCAGGAGAACATCATCATATATTTAGTAATATATATTTTGAAAATGACTTTTATGTGTACTGAAAATTTATATATGTATATATATATATATATATATATATATATATATATATATATATAAATAAAAATGAATCACCGAAATGTATGTACGCGCAACTTGTTATCATTCTTTTTTTTGTGTTTGTTATTGTCAGGAATTTTTGTACAGGAGAAAATTAAAAGAAAATTTGTTTTTACTAAAATAAGATTTTTTTAAATCTTATGATATGAAAAGTGAGTGAGTGATATAGTTTTTATCCCGGAAATTATCCCCGGGGAGTGAGAATGGAGATAAATGGGCGAATGGAGATGGGGGTTTGTATGGGGAAGCAAGCTATAAAAATATGTATATATTTCGAAGCGAGGGAGAGTCGCTAGATTATTATAATTATTGTTATTCCTTATAGGAAGTTAGAAACATTAGAAAAGTTAGAAAGCAAATAAGGAATAAGATAAAAGCATTGCTGTAAAATAAATAAAAAAATTATATATAGGTACGTACTATAAAAATTATAAAAAATTACAACAAAAACAATTTTATACTGAAAAATCTTAAAATATTCTCCGCTTGGAGGTGGAGATCCATATAGATATTCGAAATTCGATTTAGCCTTAACATACATATTATTTAAAGGTTAATGTAGTCATTAACACCTTATTCAACGTCGTGTAACGATCAGAATACTAATTTCTCTAATATGTTATATATAAGGTAATTGAATAGATGGCTTGTCTTCTTGAAATAATAAAAATTCATTTCTTATTGTTCCACAACTTACATAGTAATGGAAAGTTATGTTATTATTAGTAATTAAGGAATTTCTTAAGTTATTTTTGGTTAATTTCATTAAAGTACCTAAAACACTTGCTTTTTTAACCGACTCCCAAAAAGAAGATTATTTGTTTCTCCGATATTTTTCTACATATTTTTTGTTGCTTAGAAGCTATAAAAAATGTTATCCTAGGCTACAAATAAATAATAAGATTTATAAAATATAACGTTTTTCTTTAATATTCTGTAATTCTGTAAACCATATTACTAACATTTTTTTAATTCATTATTATACTTATTAAAATGAAGACTTAAGATGTCGAAAACTGCAAGCATATGTTGTATTACTTAGAGGTTAAGTATGTACATGAGATAAATCCGTTTATAATTTTATTAAGCTCATAGTAAAATATTAAAATAATAACGGAATGGAAATCGCAGGTACAGTTACTGAAAAGTCTGTGTTTCAGGAATGTTGATTTTATAAAGCTGAGTATCCCTTCAATAGCGCATCATTCAGAAAAGTATATAAGGATATTACTTTTTTTGTGTAGAAAATAATAGTTTTATTAAAAACATACCTTTTAAAATTTTATTTTATTCGGTGGAAACTAATTCAGTAAACTTTATTCCCTTTTACTCACTTCTATAGAAAACAGGTCGATCCTAATAATAGTACATAAATACAATAAGCAATTATATTAATAAATAAAATAAATACATATTATGTTGGGACATTAACACATCACCATCTAGTACTATGGTAAGCTACGAGGCGTGTGTTATAGATACCAGATAGTTGATACGCTTCACATATATGACTTTTAAATACATACATATATAAATTATTGCAAATTATATCATAAATATTATGGTTTTTACTATAATATGATGTTGATTCCCTACTAACTTCCAAACTCCGGGCTATTACTCGGACTTCCATAACAGAAAGACTCAATAACTAGACTTGGCCCGACCTGGGACTCAAACCCAAGACCTCTACTACACCATTGAGACATATTATAAAATAAGTCATATAAAAACTTGCCATAAATATATTGGAGCAATGACAGCAAATTGCGCCTCGAAAGTAACATTGTGTGTATTTACAAAGCAGCAAAGGCAGTTACTTCACAATAATGCATTTTGAATGCGCTTGAAAATTGTTTGCAGTTGAAAACTCAATAGTTCTATTTTATAACTCAAACAGAGTTATTTGAGCTTATTATGTATTATTGTAGCAAAAACATGTTATTAAATTATTCGTTTAATTTAAACTATTATAATTGAGAGTATGATTATAATAAGTTTTGTCACAGTCGAGAATATACCCTGTATATTTAATAAAAGTAGTGTTTACCCAGTGATTGATATTCGAACATAATGGTTATTCAAATTTTAGGAAAACATATACGAAATAAAAACTTTTTTTCATGATAACATTAAAGCTCGTCAATAGGCTACTAAGCAAACAAACAAACAAAAAAAGAAAATCGGCTGACAAACAGAGGAGAAAAAGGTACTGAACTTTTTAGCTTTACCTATTTTATTAGCTTATAATATATAAATGATGATAAATATTTTAAAATCTTTAAATATTAATGTTCTCTTAAAGTTACTTTTTTATCACAATTACATATTATATTATTTACTATTACTTTATTAATAACTAGCGCTTCACTCTTGCCTTTTTACACACACAGACACACACACACACATACACACACGCACACACGCACGCACGCACGCACGCACGCACGCACGCACGCACGCAGGCACGCACACACGCACGCACGCACGCACGCACGCACGCACGCACGCACACACACACACACACACACACATATATATATATATATATATAGACAGTTAGTCTTACTGACAGTTAAGCTAACTGACAGCTTAGCTAACTAGCCGTTAATCTAACTTACTGCTAATCTAACTGACAGTTAAACTAACTAGCCGTTAATCTACCTTACTGTTAATCTAACTGACAGTTAACTTACTGACAATTAAAATAACTAGAGGTTAAACTGACAGTTAAACTAACTGACAAATAAATTAACTGACGGTTCATCTTACTAGCCGTCAATCAAACTGACAGTTAATCTAACTAACAGTAAATCAAACTGATAGTTGAACTTAATTATAAATAAACAAACTGATAGTTAAACAAACTGACAGTTAACCTAACTGACAATCAAGTTAACTTACAGTTTAACTTACTGGCAGTTCAATTAACTGACAGATTAACTTACTAGCAGTTATAATAACTGAAGGTTTTACTAACTGACAGATAAACTTACTAGCAGTTATAATAACTGGAGGTTATACTAACTGACAGTTAAACTTACTGACAGTAAATCTAATTGACAGTTAAACTTACTGACAGTTAAACACACTGACAGTAAAAATAACTGACAGTTAATCTAACTGACAGTTAAACTAACTGACAGTTAAGGAACTATCAGTTAAACTAACTGACAGGTAATCTAACTGACAGTTAAACTACTGATAAATAAACAAACCGACAATAAAACAAACTGACACTTAAACAAACTGACAGTTAACCTAACTGACAGTTTTTTTTGTTATCGCTGGGGAAACCCATCACCCACGCTACCGGCCGTCAATGAGTAGGGTACTGTGAGACTCCTACTCACTAAAACCCACAGCGGAACCCGTTACCGCAGTGCAATGGGGCGTTGCAGGATCGCTTGCCCATTCACTACAACACCCCTGCGGACAGCCCGTACCCCGCGGGCCAGCCTTGCCTAAACAGGGATGCCCTCGATTCACAGAGCATCTCGACCGCCCCGATGACGGGCAGGGGAGTCAACGAGAAACCCCCCTGCAGTAGCTCCTCTAGGGTGGCGGGAGAAGATGCGCATACCGGCGCCTCCTCTCCCCCAGCCGACGGCGACGAAGAGGGTCTGCTAAGGCGTTAACCTCGCGTTCTCCCTCTCTCTCCGCCGTTCCACTCTCCGCCGTCTCCTTCAGTGAGATGACGGCCTCGCTGAAGGAGACTATCGCCGACCAGGACCTCTCGTCGCGTAGCATGGCCCCCACCACGCTTCGCAACGAGGAGTCCAAGCGGTGTATACTGTGAGAGTGTGGTGCGAGGTGTTCTCGGACGCACCACACTCGCAGCATACGGGCAACGGTTCCCGACGCGCAATCTGACACACATACTTACCAAAGCACCCGTGCCCGGTAAGCATCTGCGTCAGCCTAAACGTCAGGACCCCGTGTGGCCTCCTGACCCAGCGAGACAGGTAGACGAACCGCACCCACCGTCGCCAGGCCAGCCGCTGGAGTCCCCAGTTCTTCCCACAAGCGCCGGATCAGAGCCTCGAACTGGCAGTTAAATTAACTGACAGTTAAACTTACTCATGGTTAAACTAACTAACAGTTAAACTAACTGACAGTTAAGGAAACTAGCAGTTAAACTAACTGACAGTTAAAATAACTGTTACTTAAACTAACTGACAGACACACACACACAAACACACACACACACACAAACACACACACACACACACGCACAGTTAATCTAACTGCAAGTTAATTTAACGTCCAGTAAGTTAAACTGTAAGTTAACTTGACTGTCATTTATTAACGGCTAGTTAGCTTAACTGTCAGTTAGTTTAACTGATAGTTTCCTTAACTCTCAGTTAGATTAATTGTCAGTTAGATTAGTAGTAGACTGAGATCTAAAATAACTGGAGATTAAACTAACTGACAGTTAAACTAACTGACAGTTAACTTACTAGCCGTTAATTAAACTAACAGTTAATCTAACTGACAGTTAACCTTACTGACAGCAAATGTAACTGACAGTTAAACTTACTGACAGTTTAACAATCTGACAGTTAAACTAACTGACAGTTAAACTAACTGACAGTTAAACTAACTGACAGTTAAATTAACTGTTAGTTAAACTAACTGACAGTTAAACTTACTGACAGTTAAATTAACTGACAGGTAATCTTACTAGCCGTTAATCAAACTGACAGTTATACTTACTGATAAATAAACAAACTGACAGTTAAACAAACTGGCAGTTAAACAAACTGACAGTTAACCTAACTGACAGCTAAGTTAACATATAGTTTAACATACTGGCAGTTAAATTAACTGACAGTTAAACTCACTAGCTGTTAATAAAACTGACAGTCTTACTGTCAGTTAAACTAACTGACAGTTA